GTATAGCAAACATACCCAGGATCGTAAACAGCATTTTATCACGTGGGACCATGATGCAGTGACATCACTGTATTTAGCACTATCTTATTGCAGTGTAAAATAGTCTGACTCTACTTGAGAAGAGGAGAAGATTAAAGGAGGTAAAGAGGAGACAATAGTAGGAGTAGAAAACAGGAACTAAGGAAATGTTGAGAACATGGAATGATTCACCCTAGAGGCAGGAAGACAGGAGTAAACATAACTGTTAGCAGGGAGCCTTGAATGATACTTTATTTCACTGAATCTAAGGTACCATCTGTGTAAGATGCACCCATATTTTATGTACCACTAAGAAAAAATGCTACTAAGTAAATTATAGCATGCCAGTGATTATAAGATGAATTCTGATTTCACCAATGTTAAACTGTGAAAGATTATGCATGTTAGAATAAAAGAAATAGGTATTATACAAAAGCTGGTGATTGGACATACTTCTTTGACACCATGGAGCCAACAGTTACTAGGCTCTTGTCTTTGGGGTCTTGTGCCTGGGTCAGGGATGGGGTGATGGCAGATAAAGAAATAAATGGGAGGGGCGCCTGGGTGGCTCAGTTGGTTAAGCGTCTGCCTTTGGCTCACGTCATGATATTGGGGTCCTGGGATCGAGCCCCATGTCAGTCTCCCTGCTCACTGGGGAGCCTGCTTCTCCCTCTCCCTCTGCTCCTCCCCCTGCTTGTGCTCTCTCGATCTTAAATAAATAAATAAAATCTTAAAAAAAAAAAAAGAAAGACATGGGAAACACCATTCAATGATTAAGAAGCTTACATTGCAGTGGGCGTGTTTCAAAAGAGGAAGAGATCATAGGATTTGAGGAATAGATGCTATTTGTGGTCAATTTTGAGCAATGGATAGATATAATCTCAACTAGTGGAAAAGGTGGGGAGGGGATGGTAACATGGAAGAAGAAAAGCTGAGGTGTATTCAGGAGACAGTGGGCAGATACCCTACCAAATGTACAAAAGTCTCAGGTTCTCATCCTCCTAGTTCCATGACCCTGGGATCAATGGTTCTTTTAGTTTCATTCCACTTAGAATAAACCTCGGGAAGACGGGGTGCCTGGGTGATGAAGTTGGTTGAGCGTCCAACTCTTGGTTTCAGCTCAGGTTGTGATCTCAGGGTTGTGAGATTGAGCCCTGCTTGGGTTTTGTGCTCAGCACGGAGTCTGCTTGAGATGGTTTCCCTCTCTCCCTGCCCCCCTCTCTTAAATAAATCTTTTAAAAAAGAAAAAAAAAAAAAAAGAATAAACCCAGGGAAGAAATTTGTCTGGTCCGGTTTGGGCCACACATGTTGAAGATGATGAGAGCTCTGTGTTATGTGTAAGTTTAGAAAGATAGAACTTGGAACTCCTGGATGGCTCAGTCGGTTAAAGATCTGCCTTTGGCTCAGGTCATGATCCTAGAGTGCTGGGATCAAGTCCTGCATCAGGCTCCCTGCTCAGTGGGGAGCCTGCTTCTCCCTCTACCTTGGCCTGCTGCTCCCCCTGCTTGTGCTCTCTCTCTCTGACAAATAAATAAATAAAATCTTTAAAAAAGTTAGAACTCAGGGAGCCTGGGTGGCTCAGTCGTTAAGCGTCTGCCTTCGGCTCAGGTCATGATCCCAGAGTCCTGGGATCGAGCCCCCAGTCGGGCTCCCTGCTCTGCGGGAGGCCTGCTTCTCCCTCTCCCACTCCCCCTGCTTGTGTTCCCTCTCTCGCTGTGTCTCTCTCTGTCAAATAAATAAAAATTTAAAAAAATTTATAAAAAAAAGTTAGAACTCTTCAAAGACATTGATTTTGGTTCCATCTCTTTGTAAACATCTGCAGAAGGGAGAACCAAGAATTCAAAAAAATGGAAAGCTGCATAGTTTAAGGAAACCAACGAGACAGAAAAAGAATGGTAATAATAGTGGAGATGGTTCATGTCAGGTTCAGTTATGTGTGAGAGCCACAGCCCATGTGCTGACATAACAGACTGGGAAGCCAGGGGAAAGAGCTGTTCTGTGAGGAGGGTGAGGAGTTTGGGCCTTGCAGACAAGTGGAGATGTGAATGAAAGTTATAGATGTTGGTCTGGGGCTGAAGGGAGGTAAGGATTTGGGACTGCCTTCTTAGATGTGCTCAACGAAGCTATCCAAGTGGATGGAACTCCAGGAGCAAAGCAGGAGTGAGAAGGTCTGCAGACAAAAGCTTAGGAGTATATGGTTAGGTGGGGAGAGAGGGACTGATCAGAGAAGTAGGAGAACCAGAAGACCGTTGTGTCATGGAAACTGGAAGAAGGGTGACTCTCAAATGGAGGAGGGTACGGCTGGGGGCAATAATAACCATAACAATTGAGAAGCGTAAAGGCTGTGAACAGATATGGCAAGATGGAGGCCAGAAGCTCAGTGGGATCAAGCACACAGGTAGATATTAAAGAAGAGGGACACTTTTCTTAACTGCAAGTGATTTCGGTAGGTAGAAGGGAACACGCTCTGAGGGTTACTACTATTTATTGTGGAAAGAATATTTTATTTTTTTAAAAGATTTTATTTATTCACTTGAGACACAGAGAGAGAGAGAGAGAGAGAGAGAGCATGAGCAGGGAGAGAGGCAGAAGCAGGCTCCCTGCTGAGCCAGGAGCCTGATGTGGGGCTCGATCCCAGAGCCCTGGGATCATGACCTGAGCCGAAGGCAGATGCTTAACCATCTGAGCCATCCAGGCGCCCCTGGAAAGAATATATTAGACTTGTTTTCTTGAAGGATTTAAAAATAACATGGTGACTGGATGAGGGTTGTGGTCTCAGTGGTTGGTTCCCCAAACTACTCTATTGGAATTTAGGGGACTGGTCTGAAAACAGTGTTTATAACCTGGTCACCAGGTCTGTGGACAAGCTACAGTACTGAGGACTTGTGCCATCCTCTGTCCCCATATGCGTGGGGTGGGCACCACCAGGAGATAGCGTGGCTACTGCCTCTATCACAAAAGATAGAGCAGATGTTAAAGCAATCTCGTTGTATAAAGGGCCAAGTACTGAGTGCATTTTCTCTGTGCTTGACACCATGGTGAGGTTGGGATATATGGTTCCCAACTCGATTCTCCTGTAAAGCCCGCTGAGGTGGGAAGGATTGCCCCTACTACATACCCACTAAAGTGTGCCTTCCATAACTGTATTCAACACATCTAAGTTGGTGGACTTCATGTGAAACAATTATTTCCCATAGTATTTTCAGGAAAAAGACAATTTATTCCCTTACTTAGATGGACAGAGATGGGGTTGGAAAGAGTAGAAAGAAAACCCAAATTGGTCTGGGTTGTGCTGAAACATGTGGGCATGGAGTCATCCCTACATCCAGGTAGAAACTGGGAGTCCACCAGGACACGCGGCTAGCTCTTGAGGCCAGGAAGCTGGCCTATGAGACACGCAGCTATTCAGGGCGGCCAGAACAAAGCATTATAGGTTTCCACCACCTGTGCTGTTGTAGGGAAGGAAAAAGTTTTCCTTGACCCTCTTAGAGTTCCGGCTGAGTCTGAAAATGAAACTGAAGAAGACAGATTAACAGGAGGAATGTATACATATTTATCTAATACAAGTTTCATGTGACACCGAACTTTGTAAAGACATGATGATCCAAAGAAATGGTTAGACCTGAGTGTTTTTGTGCTGGACTTGATGATGAGTGAAGAGTCATGGGAAGATGTCATAGGACAAAGGGTATGAGGTAAGTGTAGTAAGTTGGGGTGTGTGGGGGGCTTAACAAGGACTTTTTCTTCAGATTCCTCTCTGTGTCCCTTCATCTTTGGAGATAAGGGTGCTTCTTTCCTCTGGGCGTGGAGAAGGCACCTGTCTCATAAAGGTTATGACCTGCTTCAGGGGATGGTGGAAAGTCCTTTCTGCACAAACTGTTTCTCAAATTCCTTAATCTTGAAATAGTCAGTAGGCTATATTTGGGGTATTGTGTGTCCTGTTTAAAAGGTACAGACCAGCAGGATTCATATCCCCACCACCACACTTGGAGACTTCTTCCCCCTTTCCTTTCATTGTAAAAGAGCAGAACGCTGTGGTTGTGGGATTAACACTGGATTGGAAGCAGCTGACACTCCCACTGACACCCCCACACCAACCACCACAAAACGTGACACGAGTCAAAATGGTGCCCACAAGGAAGGCTGAGGGTGGCCTGTCTGCACAGAGACCTAAATCCCATGCCAGGAGGTCCCTATGTCCCAAGCTGTCCAACCCCCAGAGCCACGGCTGAGCATCTGTACCTGTAGTATAAAAACATGCCCCATTAGCAGATTGGATAAAGCACTCAACCCTCACCCTCAAACCTTCAGATGTCATTACGAAATGACATTTGGGTCAGCCATTGAGAACATTAGGTTTGGGATTTATTTTAAAAGAGAAAGTGAAAAATAAACCTCGGTTGTAATAAACCACTGTTTAATCTAAACTGGCCAGGTTTATGGTGGCAATGCTCTTCTCCACTTTGTCCATTTAGCCCAAGGCCTCTCAAACTCTGCTGTGCAGATGAATAACCCGGGGGTCTTATTAACACGCACACTGTGATTCAGTAGATGTGGGAAGCGACTCAGAATTGTGCATTCCTAACAAGCACCTGGCAGATGTTTGCGCTGCTGGTCTGCAGGCCACGCTTCAAACGGCAAGGCCCTAGAGACCCCTGCTCATCGTTTAAAGTTGAGCTTAAATGTCACCTCCGCTCTGTTGATTTCCTGACATCCTCTTTGTTTCCAAAGCAGAATTGATTACTACCTCACTGGTGCTCCCAAATCATTTGATGCATTTTATGCATTTGAGCATTAAGAAATTTCCTTTACATTGTGATTATCTTCCTTAATCCATGTTTTCCTAGCTCTGGCCAAGCGGTGGTCAACTGGGGAATTAAAAAAAAAAAAAAATCTCAGTGCCTGAGCCCCGCCACCATCAGAGTTTCTCATTTTATTATAGTCCTTACTCTTGTAGCTGGGGCATAGGGGTACAAGAGCACCTGGCTCTGGGGATCCCACACAGACCAGGTTCGGCCACTTGTCGCTGACAACATCCAAAGGCAGAGAAATGAGTGGTAGTGAAACAAGAAAGGAATTATTTCCGTGAGGCCGACAGCAGGAAGACAGCCGACTAGTGTCTCAGACGGTCTCCAAATTGCTGAAAATACTTCCAGGGGGACAAAGGTGGGTGGGTACACGCAGGGGGGCCATGAAGGTCACACTGATCCTTGTCTTGGGGTCAGTCATGTGGGGTCTTGCTGGCTCAGGTGGTCCTTATTGCTTCAGGGGGTAGTTTTGGTTCCCATCTGGGGATGCTTTGCTCGCTGGGTCTCTCGCCTGAGTTAAGAAATAAGCTGGAAAGAACTTAATCAATTAGAAAGTACAGACTGGTCAAAATGGAGGTATGGTTGAAGTCATCTTTCACTCTCCATCTTTTAAATAACACTCTCTTTTTTGAAGGCTGATACTAAAATCTGAAATAAATTTCTTTGGAGGAGTATTGTCTTGGCTTGGTTTAATGGTTCGCAAACTGTGTTCCCTGGGACCCAGTGGGTGTTCTGGGGGTGCTTCAGGAACTACTCCAGGGGTGGGAGATGGGAGAATAGGAATGAGTAGAGGGCATGGGAACAAGGCAATGGACCCAGCCAGAATGGGGGGACAGTGAGGAAGGAAGAGAAGCTCACCCTTCCTCTTTTCCCAACAACTTTTTCATCCTGCTTTTGGATAAACCAACCAGCCCAACAAAGAATACTTAACCTACTATGAGCAAGTGCCCAGTCTTTTAATCCTTCCAAGAACCCCATGAAGTAGGGTTCAGAGAGGAGATAAAAGAGGGAAAGACAGCAAGTTACAGGGCCAGGACAGGAACAGGACTTCTGCCCCCACGTCCTCTCACTTTTCATGGTTCCCTGCAGGAAAGCTGTGGGGTCCAAGACACAAAGGTCCCCAGGGAAGCCTCAGTCTTCTCCCATCAGCACTGCTCGGATCCATCCAGAAGGTACCTGGCTTCCTGGTAGCCCAGGTGGAACGGAGGTTAGAGGTGGGAGGGAGAAACAGGCACCAACCGCCCACAGAACTTTGGGTTTCTGAACTGACTTCAGATTTGCCCAAACTATTGGAAGAAGCGCCCAGCCCTGGGTCCTGGTCTTCTGGCTTCCAGCCTTCACCTCCTTCTCCCTGTCCCCAACACCTGCCCTCTTCCCTAAGGGAGCACCACTGCTCTACCTCTGGTAGGAAGCTGGCAGTTACCAGCACGATAGCCCCCTTTCTCCCCTGATGCCTGCTCTGCCCTTGTAGGGCCAGAGAGTGGAACTTGGCCACAACCTTTTTTCATCCCTCCTGTGAGCAGAAAGAGTGCATGTGGGTGAAAGCTGAAGCAGAGGATGGAATCACACATGTAATAAGCCCTAGAATATAAGCTCCACGGGACAGGGATTTCCATCTGTATTCTTAATTGCTGTGTCTCAGGGTATATAACAGCGCTTGGCATATGGTCGATGCTCAGCAAATATTTATGGAAGGAATGAATGAATAACTACTCTTTGTTAAGTACCCATTATGTGCCAGATACAGTGCCGGGTGCTTTACTTACACCATGTCATTTCCTGTTAGCTACTGAAATGTCTTATTCATGTTCCGTATGGAGGCAGGAGTCTGGAGATTCAGCGAACGCATTTTGCAAGCTGTGTGACATTGAGCAGTGTACTTAATCTCTCCGAGCTTTAGTTTCTCCATCTGGAAAAAAAAAAAAAAGAAGATGGTAATTCTGGCCTCTTTGGGTGGATATGAGGAGTAAGTTCATGTGTCTAAGGTACTCAGCCCAGGGCCCCGTCTAGAGAACATACAATGTAGACAAGGAGAGGAGCAGGAAAGGGCATGAGGAGGAGGAAGGTGAAGAAGGCAAAGGAGAGGAAGGAAGATAACACTGAAAATTGCCCTACAACCCAAACTATCCCTTCCATCTATAATTGCAATCGTTTCTAAAACAACAAAAATTTTAACATTGACCTGATCTCAGAGTATATAAAATTCTTTCCAAGAGAACCCAGTTTGCATTTTACCCAGACATTTTTATCACAAGGACAGATGAAAATTTTGTCATGGACCAGTCAGTGTTCTTGGGGACCACCTTTCTAAGAGGAGGACTCGTTCTTCATTTCAGAGGCGAGAACAGACCCAGGGAGGTTGAATAATTTGCATAAGGGCAGACAGCTAGTTTTTAGAGGAAAATTGCTTACCCAGATACTCTCTTCTGCCAGTTATAAAATTCAAATTAGTTAATATTCATCAAATGACATGAATTTGTGACAGCATGTGACCTAAGATTTCTCCTTTTAGCCAGAGATTCCAAACTCTCAGCCCTCTGACCCACTGGGACACATATGAATGCCCAGACTATGGTACTTCATGTATTTTCTCTGAATTTGGAATGATAAGGTGGGTCACCTCTCAGGATTCTTCACTCAATCATGCTTTTCACTGAGTTTCCTAGAGCATAGCTCTGGCCTCAGGAAAACTCCTTTGAAAAAATTGCTTGATGTTGCCTCCTCTTGGGGCGCCTGGGTGGCTCAGTCGATTAAGCATCTGCCTTTTGCTCGGGTCATGATCCCAGGGTCCTGGGATCGAGCCCCACATCAGGCTCCTTGCTCAGCAGGGAGCCTGCTTCTTCCTCTGCCTGCTGCTCCCCCTGCTTGGGCTCTCTCTCTCTCTCTCTATTTGACATATAAATCAAATAAAATCTTTAAAAAAAATTGCTTGATGTCATTGAATACTATCCAGGTTTATACATTTGCTTTTAGTGAGACCCTCTGGCCGTTGACCTCATGGTCCAAGATGGTGGTAAGAATCCTAGCAGTCATTTCTGCAATTGAAGAAGCAGGATGCTTAAGGGGAGGTAGAAGGAAAAATGGAGCATCCTTTCAAGGAAAGCTATCTTTCAGTGAAAGTTCCAGGAGGCTGTCACACACTTCCCCATTGGCTAGAACTTGGTCCCATGGCCACATCTCGCTGCAAAGAATGCTGGGAAATGTATTTACTCTGAATAGGCATATACCTAGCTAAAAACAGGGAATTCTGGAAGAAAAGGAAAAACATATACTGTAGGAAATAGCAGTTCCTGCCATACCACCCAAGAACACAGCCACATGTTTCCATGAAGCCCCAGCTGAAAAGAGGAAGGTCGTAAGTAAGGACAAAATGTTCAGCGATTGCCGCTGCCCCCTTTCCCTCCCCCTCACCCAGATACCTCTTGTTACTATCTCAAGTGTGAAGCAGGGCAGAGATACATGGGACTTTCTAAAGCATTGTGTTAATGCCAGAAGCTTCTGTTACTACTGAGCTCAGAGACTTGGAATGTTTCTATGCCCAGAAATAGGACCTGGGTACTGAGTCCCTGCCATCATTTATTTTGAAAAAGGGCAGGAGTTTTCCTTTCCCTCAGCTCTGCCAATTTTAGGGACAAGCAAATGGGGTCAGCAAATCCAAGGCAATTCTCCTTGGGATAGACCGTGAAGGCTTCAAGCCCCTGCTCCCACCCACCACCCCCACCCCTGTTTTTGTGCCTTCTCTCTCCAGAGGCTGTGCGGGGCTGTTCTCCTCACACTCTAAGGGGGCCTCGATTACTAGGGGCAAGAGAGCAAAACAAGCCTCTGAGGTGATTCTCAGTCTGGGGTTGTTTTCCCAAGAATAATGAAGGGTTTGCCCTGAGTCACCCCCATCCTCTTAGTTAACTGTAGTACATTGTTTGGAGATCTCCTGCTGGTGTAAAGGATGTAAAGGGGACACAGAGGAGAGCTTCTTCTGAGTTGGGATAGCTTTAGACATTGAGTCCATAAGCAAATATGACATACGTGTATTAAAAATAAGAATAATGCCAGAGTGAGGTGAGTATCGGGAGCTTATTGTTCAGGAGGCTCTTTCTTAATAAAAGAAACAAGACTACATTTAAAAATAACATACTGTGAATAACAATGTGTTAGTTAATGGGTTAGTAATCTGGACCATTTGTGTGCCTGTGAGTCAAGTTACTGCTTACCTTGAGGTCATAATGTCCAAAAACAAAGGCATCTTTCCTTTTCTACAATACTCTTCTGTTCTTGTCTCCTTCATGTTAATCAATAGTCCACACGGATATGGGCATCTAAATGGTTGGCATGGCTAGTCATATCTGTAATTCTGGAAAAGCTACCTTTTATTTATTTATTTATTTTTGTTTGTTTAATTTTTATTTTAATTCAAAAAGCCACCTTTTAATAAACCATTTATTATTGGATAACCGTATAAACTACCCACAGCCCACAGCTTTTATTGAGGTATACTTTACATGCAGCGAAATGTATAGATCTCAACGACGAGAACAGCTCGGTGAGTTTTAACAAGCGTGTATACCCAGTAACCTGCCTTCCTAGCAAGAGATGGAGCATCTTGGACACCTCACAAAATTCTCTAATGCCTTCCTTCCAGTCAGTCCCTCATGTCCACCTACCCCCTGACTCCACAACCAGTGTTCTGGATTCTATCACCGTTAGATTTGTGTTGTCAGTTCTAAAACTTCGTATACATGGAATCATAAGGCATATGGTCTTTTGTGTCTGGCTTTTCTCACTCAGCAGATGTTTTTGAGATTCCTTCGTGGTGTCGCACGTATCTATAGCTCAACCCTATTCGCTGCTGAGTAGTATCCCATGGGATGAATAAACCGTGATTTCCTCATCCATTCTCCTTCATTTTCAGTTGGGAGAAGTAAAGCTTTTTATAATAGTTATAATAAATAATTTAAATAACTGTATAAGCAATAATGTAAAACTTATAAATAAAGGAGCGGACAGGTAAGTGTGAGCATGTGCCTGACTTATCACAGAAACATTTGCACCAAAGATACTCAGCTAAAGCTCAGAGTTGGCAAAGTTGCAACCAGAACTATGCCGTGCATTAAATCCTGGGGTGAGTGAGGAATTGTGGAAGGTGGTGGGACAAAGCAAAACATTACCAATTCATTAATTTAGAAAAAAAGTTGTTATCCGGGGCTCCTGGGTGGCTCAGTTGGTTAAGCATCTGCCTCTGCTCAGGTCAGGATTCCAGGGTCCTGGGATCAAGCCCCGAGTTGGGCTCCCTGCTCAGCGGGCAGCCTGCTTCTCCCTCTCCCTCTGCTCCCATGCTCCTGCTCTCTGGCTCATTCTCTCTCTATCTCAAATAAATAAATAAAATCTTAAAAAAAAAAAGTTGTTACCTACCAATTGCCATCAAATGAAGAAAGTAGGCTTGGTTTTAAAATGCATATTTACAATTTAGAGACGAGTCACTCGTGATGGGCTATTAATTGCTCCATTTTACAGTGGAGAAAATTCCAAGAATTTAAAATGGAGATACTAGTTCCTAACTTGCAGGGTGGTTTGTTTTTTTTTTTGAGAAGCATATGAGAGAATGATCTAAATGTCTATCAAAGTATCTGTCAGCTTAAAGCTCTGTGTAAGTGCAAAGTGGTAGTGTTTGTGACAAATTCACACAGGTTTCCCTTGAAAGACTACAGTGGAATATTTCACATGTGTCATGTATTTTTTTGGTTATTAACTCATTTACCTTCCTAAGAGGTAAATATTATTGTAATCATTCCCATTTTTACAGATGAAGAGCTTGAGGCCCAGAGGCCACACAGGTTTAAATGGCATAAGTGGGATTTTAATCCATAGAACCGGCTCGAATCTGAGCTGTTACTATGGTGCCATCTGCCTTTCTAAAAAGATGTCATCATACCTCCTCCCAACAGCTCACTTTACGATAATTGTCTTCGTCCACAGCCTTTATTTCCTTGTGGGAGGGTTGCTATATTCAGATTTGTTGGCCTGCTGTCTACAAGATATAAGAGAAGGAAGCTGCAAGCTTGCCTAAAATCTCAGTGATTTCCCATTTGGGTCTTCCTGGAGGTTTGCAGTGAGACTGCCGGGTCAGCCGTGCTCTCAGCAAATACTCTGTATTTATGAGACAATCAGAACCACCCACAGGATGGAACAGATCCTGGGAGCTCCTACTTGAGGCCATCTTTCCCATGACGCACAGTTTGGTGTCCAGCTAAGGTGGGAAACACTGTAGCACTGAATGCTAAGAAGGAAACATCCCCATATCCAAGGCCATTTGGTCATTTACTGGAATGTCTCTGTTCTCACCTGGACATTTCTCTTGGACCACTCTTGCACCTTAGGTTGCACCCCCTTTTGTCTGAGGCTGTGGATAACTGAGTTGAAAGGCACTTTGCATGACTGGGTGGGGATGGGGGGGTGGGCAGCATAGCATTTCTTTTTCTTTTTTCTTTTAAAATTACTGGGGACCACTCTTTGAAAAGGGGGGGCACCTAGGTGGCTCAGTCCGAAGAGCATGTGACTCTTTTTTTTTTCTAAAGATTTTTATTTATTTTTTGACAGAGAGAGAGAGAGACAGCGAGAGAGGGAACACAAGCAGGGGGAGTGGGAGAGGGAGAAGCAGGCTCCCCGCAGAACAGGGAGCCCGATGTGGGACTCGATCCCAGGACCCTGGGATCATGACCTGAGCCGAAGGCAGACGCTAAACGGCGGAGCCACCCAGGCGCCTCAGAGCATGTGACTCTTGATCTCAAGTTCATGAGTTTGAGCCCCACATTGGGTGTAGCGATTATTTAAATGAATGAATAAATCAAAACTTTAAAAATAAAATAAAACAAAGTAAATAAAATGCAATAAAATTACTGGGAACCACTAATTAATACCTTCAAATTGACCTGAAAGTAAAGTTCAGTTTTTAAGCAAAATAAGCATGGTTGTCTAAAAGATTACACGTCTCTAACATAGGTTTCAGAGCGTGAGCCGTGGAAATTCTAAAGTTGGGTGAAACTTAAGTCAGCGACTCCTGAAACTGAATATTCAACTCTAGAAGAACCAGCTGAGAAAACCACCTGTGCTGCTTTCTTTAGCTTTTTCTACAGAATAATTAGAAGCAGGAGTTGTGGCCTCCGAAACCCCATCACCCGGGATTGGCTGGCTGTATCTTCGGCACTGACTAAAACAGGAAATTACCAGGTGTGTGTAAATGGAGCTAATAAGAATAAGAACCCCCTACAACTCTGTAGCCACTTGGGAAACATGACCCAAACCAAATTACCCATCTGGACCTGTTTTCTGTTCATAAATGAGGTAAATTAACTTGGAGAGCCCCAACACCCCCTCCAGCTGGGATAGTCATGGTTCTAGGAGCTGGTACTAACAGTCAGGGACGGCGGTCCTCTACAAGCCTGTCATTATGTTCACGTTGGAGCTGTCCTGGAGGTTCTCCTGGTGGGATAGCAGGGTACAGAGCAAGATTCCAGGTGATTTCAGAAACCCCTAAGGCGGGGCGCCTGGGTGGCTCAGTCTGTCAAGCGTCTGCCTTCGGCTCAGGTCATGGTTCTGGGGTCCTGGGATGAAGCCCCACATCGGGCTCCTGGCCCAGTGAGGAGCCTGCTTCTCCCTCGGCCTGCCCCTCCCCCTGCTTGTGCGCGCGCGCTCTCTCTCTGCCAAATAAATAAATAAAATCTTAAACAAAAAAAAGAAGCCCCTAAAAAAAGCCCAACCCTGACAGAGGGCAGAAAGTGGACACAAATCTACAAAAGCATTCATTTCACTGACTTTTAAGGATCCCCAGTGTTTTCTCTCTCCTTAAAGCAAAGAACTGAGTCCTTTGAAAAAGTGAATACATGGTGAGGGTAGCTATTTTGTTTTTATTTTTCCCCAGATTCAAAGGGAGTGGAATTTTTGTTGGCTTATTTTAAGGAATTATATAACCAAAGTTAATCTGTGCATCAAGACAGTCCCATGCTAAAGAGTCAAACAGTCACACATTAATTTGCACAACTATTACGTCCTTTCCTGCTGCTGAGTTCAGCTTAAGCTGTTGTTTATTTTATGGTAAGATTAAATTCATTCATTCTTTTCTTCAAGAGTTGAACAGCTCTAAATGTGGCTTCTCATTCAAAAAATTCATTCTTACTGTGGCCAAAAAGCCTTCTTTCATTCAAATGAATCATTTCCCCTAATTAGCGGGGAGAAATCTGGAACTAATTAACTAAAAGATCTAAGGTGTCTTCAAAATGCCTTGGGCAACATGTTAGATAAGAAGACTGTGTGATAAATAAAATCATTTTGCACACCAGCCATTTCAGGAAGGGGGTGGAGTTAGAGTCAATGGAAAAGCACAGGCCCTGGGATCAAAAGCCCAAGTTTTCCGGTTTATAAACCACAGGTCCTGCGGAAAATAACTGAATGTCTCGGAGCCTCAGCTTCCTCATCCATGAAGGAGACGTAGTAATCTGCTGTGCCTACTTCCAGGGCTGGTTCTTGGGGCCAAATGGAACCACGGATGTAAAAATGTTTCGTAAATGCCACAGGACCATTCAGTTGCGAACTGGAGTTATTCCGCAGTTGGGCTGCTTCGGAGACGATGAAAGAACTCCTTGTGTTTTGCATTCAGCCCTCAGACCACATAATGCCACTGAGGGGACCCCACATCACCGCCCCTCTTTCATCCTAAGCACACCCCAGGGAGGTCTCCAAACGGTCACTGTGGCTTTAGGCATAGACTGATCTCACAGTATTTCCTTTTTTCTCCACGATGACTCCTCTGGAGCTGGGATGAGCATATCAAACTCCATCAACAAGAAACTAGGGGACTATTTGTGAAGTTATACTTGAACCTAGAAGCCTGTGTGTTTCGGTTAACGACAGGCTTGGAAAGGATAAAAAGTTGCCTTAACAATTTGATCAGGACTCCAGCAGAGGGAGTCAGGGCTGCACTGACCCCCCACAGGACCAGCAGTGTCATTCACAGGTTTATGTCACCAACAGCCCATCTTCCTTCCTTCTTTGCTTTCTAATCGGAGGACTGTAGTTATCATTTTAATATCTCTGGGTGGAGGAAATATATGGCTAAAGGCCCTTATGAATTCAGCTGCACTTCCAAAACCCTTCCAAAATGGGTTTGCATTTTATTGATCCCAGGAGCCCCTAGGACAACAGCGGCAAAGGTGGGTCGTGCGTTCAGCCTGCAGAAGCTTCGCACCTGTGGTGGGCACCCCTGGAGGCCCGGCCCGCTGTCAGGCTGTTTTCGTCCTTCCTGAATCACAGCCCCTGTTTTGTTCAAGCATCTGCCCCTTCCCTGTCCAGAAGGGGATCCTGATTTGTCTGAGATCACATTTTCCCCTGATGAAGGTAACTGATCTAGGGGTGGACTTACGACCTTACGTGGTGGGCCCGGTCAAAAGGTAGGGAAGGGCTTATCTTCCATACTCCGGGAAGAGGTGGTCTCTCTTTCTCTCCCATTGGCTATGAGTGAGGAAACGTGTTGCTGTTGGCAGCCATATTCAACCACAGGAAAGAAAATAGAAGAAACACAAAAGAATGAGGGAAGGAAAGAACCTGAGTTATTGTTGTTGCTGTTCTTTAAGAACCTGAGTTTTTGATGACACCACTAAATCAAATAACCCTGCAGCCTGGGTTTCTTGTTATTGTGAGATAATGCATTTCTTTTTAAGCCTGCTTGAGTCAAGACTATTTTTTGCAGATACCGTACCTGTATATATAGATTGATGGACTCCCTTTGCTTTCCCCAAGGGCACCCAGTGGACTTCAGTCCCTTGGGTGGGCTGAAATAGTGATTGAGAGCCACTACTTTTTGTTTGTTTGTTTGTTTTTCTTTAGAATTCCAGTATAGTTAATATTAGTTTCAGGTGCACAATATAGTGACTCAACACTTCCATATATTATTGAGTGTTCATCATGATAAGTGCACTCTTTAATCCCCTTCACCTATTTCACCCATCCCCCACCCTCTTCCCCTCTGATACCCATCAGTTTGTTCTCTATAGTTAAGAGTCTGTTTCTTGAAGGGTCACTATTTTTTTTTTTAAGATTTTATTTATTTATTTGAGAGAAAGAGAGGGAGAGAGAGAGCACAAGCAGGAGGAGTGGCAGGCAGAAGGAGAAGCAGACTCCCCGCTGAGCTGGGAGCCTGATGAGGGGCTCGATCTCAGGATCCTGAGATCATGACCTGAGCCGAAGGCAGAAGCTTAACCGACTGAGCCACCCAGGCTCCCTGTCCCTTGACTACTCTTTATTTTAAACTATTTATTGGTTTTCCACGGGTCACTTGTTGAGGAGGTTGTTGCAAATTATTTCTGTGATATTTTTCTTTCCATTGACATAGCACTTTACAGATACTTATTATTTATTGCTAGTCCTAGATGGATCTATAACTTAGAGGGATTATTCCAAATGAGAGATTGCAGTACAACAAGTCAAAAAAATATCCAAAGTTACCGAAGATGTCCATTACTGTGCTGAAAATACTCTATATGTCGTAAGTCCTCCTCTCATTACTAGTTCTCTCCTGACGGAGGGAAAAATTCAAGTCATCTAAAATAACAAACCATGGTAGTTTTTAAAAAACAGGAATCTTTAGTGCTGCCTTCCTTCATTCTCCTTTTCAAGGGTGGGGGATTATATATATGTTTTTCTTACTGCCCTTTGTTGCTGGTTTATGTTCATAACCTCTAATCAATTTAAACTAAATCACATTTTAAAGACCCACTTGTGGCTCCTATTGGAAAGAACTTGCCAAAGCAGGAAGTAGGGGTTGCCTCATGGGAAGGAGACCAAACGCCCAACATCCCAAAGATTTTGGCCAAGTGTTTGAGGGATTGTTCAGAGAATCACCAGGTAATTTGTCTAAGCATTCATGAAACATTTATTATTTTACCATAATTATGAGAAATAAAGAATCAAAAAGGAATGTAATTTTTCATCCAACAGTGTACAAAGTCTTGTGCTGGGTGCTGGTGTGATAAAAAGCTGAATAAGATACAGTTGATGACATTTTATTTGAGAGAGAGAGAATAAGAGAGAGCACATGAGAGGGGGGAGGGTCAGAGGGAGAAGCAGACTCCCTGCTGAGCAGGGAGCCCGATGCAGGACTCAATCCCAGGACTCCAGGATCATGACCTGAGCCGAAGGCAGTCGCTTAACCAACTAAGCCACCCAGGCGTCCAGTTGATGACATTTTATATTGTCCTTAGAGAAAGAAGGTTAACACAGTGTATGTGAAACAAGTAGCCAACCATTTTAGGCAGCAGATGATTAGATGCTAAAGTTTGCAGTACAGACTAAGTGCTATCAGCACACAGAGAAGGAGAGCTCAAGATGAACTATTGCGGTGTTGAGAGGTTATTTTATAAAAAAGATGAGCCACACAGGGTCGTTTGGATTTGGATGAACTTTCAAGGTGAGAAAATTGGGGCAATTATGATATTGTGTTTAAAAAATTAAATCAGGGCGCCTGGGTGGCTCAGATGGTTAAGCGTCTGCCTTCGGCTCAGGTCATGATCCCAGGGTCCTGGGATCGAGTCCCGCATCGGGCTCTCTGCTCCTTGGGAGCCTGCTTCTCCCTCTGCCTCTCTCTCTCTCTGTCTCTCATGAATAAATAAATAAAATCTTTTAAAAAAAAATTAAAAAAAAATTAAAAATTAAATCAATGCTAATCAAAAATAATTTTCATTTCAAACACTGTTGAACGTTTTCCTAAAATGTATCACTGCATGAGCATCTGAAGTTGTTTTCTGTTTTTTGGAAGGCTTCAAAATTAAACTTAGAAAACAATGTCAATGTATTTATGTACTTTGTTCTTTAGGAAATAAAAGCATTGGGCATTGAATAGGTTCATTATTCATTGACTAAATATTTATTGAGCACTTACTGTGAGCCAGTGAAGATTCTAAGTGATGAGCAAAAGAGATATGCTTCACAGATGATTGAAATCTTGTTCAGAATAGTTAGAAAGGGAAGGAATAGATACAAAATCTAATTAGGTAGGGTGGTTGGGGGGCTTCTCCGAAAAGGCAATGTTCAGTTAAGATTTAAAGAATGAGAAGAGCCAGCCAGCCCTGCCAAGAGGGCAGCAGAACTCCAGGCAGTCCCTGAGGTTGAGTTTGAGGTGCCCATGTGTATCAGCCAGGGCTCTCGAGAAACAGAATCTATGGGATACAGATCTATGTTTCTATGTATCTATGTATTTATCTAACTATCTATCTCCTGCTTTGTTTATTTCAAGGAATCGGCTTATGTGATTGTTGGAGCAGGAAGCCCAGAATTTATAGGGCAGGCTGGTAAGCTGGAGCTCTCAGGAAGGAGAGGATGCTGTAGTCTTAAGGCAGAATGTCTTCTTCCGGGAAACCTCAGGTTTACTCTTTAAGTTCTTTCAGTTGATTGGATGAGGCCCACCCACATTATCAAAGGTAATCTCCTTCACTTAAAGTCAACTGATGGTAGATGTGAACCACATCTACAGAATGCCTTTCCAGCAAGACCTAGATTAATGTGTGATTAAATAACTGGGTAGTATGGCCTTGCCAAGATGACACATAAAACATCATAGCAGGAAACCGTCACATCTAACACAATGTCCGGAGCCTGATGAGATGAGGGAAGGTAACCTGATAAACTTGGGGATCTGGGCAGGAGTCTCAAGGCCAGGATACAGAGTTTAGCTTTTATTCAAAGTGCATCGGGAAACCATAGAAGGAAAGTGATTCTAAAGTTTATATGGAAAGGCAAAAGATCCTGAATAGCCATTAAAATATTGAAGAAGAACAAAGTTAGAGGACTGATACTACCCAACTTCAAGATCTACTTTACAGCTACAATAATCATGACAGTGTGATATTTTTGAAAGAGTAGACCGTAGATCCATGGAACAGAATAGAGGGACCAGAAATAGACCCATACAAATATAGTCATCTAATTCTGACAAAGGAGCAAAGACCATTTGATGGAGAAAGGATAGTCTTTTCAACAAATGGTGCTGGAACAACTGTATATCCACATGCACACACACACACACACACACATAAGAAGAAAGAAAAGAAAAAGTGAATCTAGACAAAGACATCTACTCATGCAGCAAATATTTATTGATTTCTACCAAGTGTCAGGCACCAAGCTTGCGATGATTCTCATGATGAAAAAATATGTGTGGATAAAATTCTGACTCCGCTACTGGAGGATTATATTCTGATGGTCTTTTGGTCCTTGGCACTGTAGTTGTGGCTGGGGCACTTGTGGAACTCTTGGCTGGGTTTGTTCAGATCCAAAGACTTAGACAGTGGAAAGCTCAATCCAGCTAACTGAGGCTTCTTATTAATCTAGATATCCCATCAATCATAAAAATTGTAAAATAGATGGTGGGCAGTCTCCAAATAGCCTCTTGTCACCACCATATTAAATAATTAAGTAATTTAAGTGGTTTCGGTGTGACATCAACACCAGCTGGTTTATGGATTAGTAATTCAACAGGAAAATGACACATTACATTACGGATGGGCTAAAAAAAACCTAGAGATCAGGGAATCACACTGAACTAAAATAGCAGATGCAGAACAGGGCTGATGGCTGTCAATGCCTGCTGTAAATACCACAGCCTTCTTGGCATGCCTGATATTAATGGTCTGATGGACATTTTGTCCCCTCTTTGTTTTGTTCGGGTGCTCTGACTGATCTGGAGTGGTTAGCTCCAGACGTGAAGGGGCAAAGGGGAAAAAGAGCCCAACAAAGTGGGTTTATAGGAATAAAAGTT